TCCTAAAGTAGCTCCAACTTTTTGAGTCAAAACAGAACGAGGGGGAGTGGGGAAGGAGATGGTGGGATATCACGCGTCCTACTAGTGAGGGGGCTAGCTGGTAGGATGGGAATAGGGCATAGCAGTAGCGGAGATAGTGGCTTTGCTGCAGTAAGTCTTGCCAGAGTAAGGTAAAGTGGATGGATGGGGAGGTTTTCTGAGCAGTTTCTGAATTCTGTTTATATTCTGAAGTTTGTCGTAGTCATTTTCTAAGTAGCTTCTTTTTTTCTGAGCCGAAGCCGGGTAATGGCCTCGGTATCTCAATCTTTAAAATCATATGTAAATTTCCATATGGGACGTTGGGCCCGGTTCCCAGCACGTGCTGCTCCCCACAAATAGATTGGAGCCTTGTTCCCATTAAAAAAAAAAAAAAAAAAAGGACGGAGGAAGAAGTACGCTCGCATAGGGACGCCACAAAAGATATTAAGAACGAGAGGATTACAGTTGCAATTATGCCCGCCAAAACAAAAGTTACAGTTACACGGAGGACTAAGGCGCGGAAAAGTCAGAACACAGATCCTGACGCAACAAAGCGTGCGCAAGCAAGAAGTGTCGTGCAACAAAAATTGAGATGCGCCTAAATTCCTAATCTAAATCCTAATTGCAGAAAGAAATTTCGAACGAAGCAAATTCTGAGAGCCCACAAGGGCTCGACATCAGTTGAAAATTCAAAAAGATTCTCCCGCGTGACGATCGCGCCAAAATTCCCATTTCCCACAGCAGAACACGAAAGAAGCTATGACAACAGTTATCTTTCGCGCTCGCTAAGGTGCGATCAGCTACCAACCGTCACAAGATTACCCCGACCTTGATTCCGAAAAACAAGAAAAGCAAGGGCACCCATGTAATCCAGTGGGCCCTCCCGATTCAATCCCCGAAGTAGCCTTGCGCAAAAAATCGCGCGGTTGCAGAGACAGTTCGTCACACCCCCCCTTTTCGGGGTTGGGGGTCCCACCCCCGACACCTCCGGACTCCAGCGGGGGGTCCGGTGTCGGGGGGTGACAACCCTGGTATACATGCCGCAACGTTTGGGGCTTGGCCTTACCGGATCTGTTGCCAGCCAGTACGAAAGAAATTTACACCTTTTTTTTTTTTTTTTTACAAAACACCTCCTGCAGTGGTAGTGATACTGGTAAGAGCAGATACAACTAGCATCCGGGAGAGGCTCCATCTATTGGTGGGGAGCTTCACCTGCTGGACAATGGGTCCAGCGCCCTATATACAGAGTGAATCCGGCAAATCTGGAAAGAAACCAAGAAGGGGGGTTAAGGAAAGTCTGCCAGCATTGATTACTCTGGCATCCAAAGGATTGACTGTGCAGGTTTTAAAGAAAGGAGCCTCCAACTGCCCCGTACAAAGCCAAGCATTCGATAACAACATTGCAAAGACATCTCTTCAGCCCCAATCCGGCCGCCAGGCGAAGCGTTTCTTCCTTATGTGACTGCACTGCCTGCTCTAAATCTGATGGGTTCCACCCTTGCACAAATTTGCAGGGGCTCAAGGCTGTTGCTGAAACTTTTTCTACCCCGGGGGACACCGGGGGTAATTCTTGACCGATGGGCTGAGGTTTTTTAGAGAAGGATCTCGACTAAGGACAGCGGGTGAGGGGGGAAGGGGTCCGGGAAATCAGAAGGGGGTCGCATGGGGAACGAGGACTCAAAATTAGTCCAGTCGTTAAACACCAGGTGGTAATCCCTGGGGGGGGGCTGTTCCACTCTGGTCTGTCCTCTTCGTTTGTCCCTTCAACATTGTACCCTAGCTACCCATCCCCCCTTGTCCCCACCAAGCCAGTCCGTGCAAAAAGCCACGAGGGCCCGCTTAATATCCCGGTCCGTTTGAAAAATATCCAGCTGGTATTTCAAGTCGTACCATCTACGTAGCAATTCCAACTGAATTTGTTCCGTAATTTGTTCTATGAACTCCCCGTCCGCCACTCTAACGTTTTCCAAATTGAGAAGGCAACGCTGCCACCACAGGGCCTAGAGGATTGTTCTTCTTCCAAGACTGAACCAGTTTTCGGTGTAGGGGGGTGCTGCCGCCATTTCAGGGCAATGCCCAGTCAGGATTGCTCGCCAGGACCACGGTCTGTCCCACCAACGCCACGTTAGCATGACCACTGGACATTGCATGAAAATATGTTCGATGGTCCCATTCCACTTTTGTGAGGGGAAGGCCGTGAGGCACCGTTGACACCAGGGCAGTGCGACACCTTTCTGCTCCAGGTGAGTGTGGTCGATTAACCAGGCATTTGTGGGGAGGCAGTGGTGGGCAATCTGCCACTGTAATGAAGTAATTTTAGACGACTGGGCTTTGTTTTCGCTGAACCATTTGATGGGCGTGACGAGAGCCCAATCCACGTTAAGGTGATTGGCCCACCTGTCGTTTATCTGATCTCTCAGTTGCCTCTTTAGGCGTAGCATCTTGTATGTGGTTTTGACTGACAAATTATTGAGGTAGATCTTTTTGGATGGCCCAGTCGTTGGTCTGCTTGTATTCCCAGTCGCTGGTTTGTTTGTAGGTTTCCATTTCCATTCTAAGGGGTCCAAAGCCAACTCC